CTTTTTCACACATAGTCTTCCAGACATGTTGGTAAATAACCCCATTAAATTTTGGAATACTGTTAACAAAAAGGACCGTTTTTCAATTTCTCTTACAACTTCTAGTGGTGACAGCGTGCCCAGTGACGAATGTGCTAATGTCTTAAATAGTATATTTATGGAATCTTTCTCCGATATTCGCAACATAACTTACCCTTCGATGAGCTGTTCCTGTTATCTGCCAATGGATTCTATCTTTGTTGATCCTGCTGGTATTGCAAGAATTATAGATGAACTGAAGTTATCATCCTCATCAGGAGTGGACGGAATTAATTCCAAGTTTTTAAAAAAACACTAAACTATACTCATCTCTTATTCTCTCAAAATTGTTTGAACAGTCGCTGCAAGATGGTATTTTACCTTGTGATTGGCGAGTGGGGAAGGTGGTTCCAATTCCGAAAGGTGGCGATAAGTATTCCCCTAACAATTATCGTCCCATTTCATTAACCAGCAAACCATGTAAACTTCTGGAACACGTTATCTTTTCCCAACTCGTACATTTCCTAGAGTCGAATAATTTTTTCACCGAAGCACAGCACGGATTTCGTAAATCATTATCTTGTGATACTCAGCTCCTATCCTTCACTCATGACATTCATTCTATTCTTGACCGAGGCTCCCAGGTGGACTGCATTTTCTTAGATTTCGCCAAGGCATTCGATAAGGTGTGTCACGAGCTATTACTGTTAAAACTTTCAAAACTTAACATTGACCCTAACGTTCTCGCATGGATTCGGTCTTTTCTAAATAACCGTTCACAATTTGTAACAATTAACAACGAACATTCTCCTCCCGTGTCTGTGAATTCTGGAGTTCCTCAAGGGTCGGTTTTAGGCCCACTACTATTTTTAATCTATATTAACGATCTTCCCATTAATGTGTCTTCATCCGTTTGTCTCTTTGCCGATGACTGTGTAATTTACCGTGAAATCTGTCACGATTCTGACCTGTCTACACTTCAGTCTGATATTAACTCTGTCTCTCGTTGGTGTGAATTATGGCTAATGAAACTAAACACTAGTAAATGTAAACAGATGAGAGTGTCCCGCAAGCCTAACAACAGTCCCTGTTACCACCTAGATGGCAACCTTTTGGAGCAAGTGGCAACGTACAAGTACCTTGGTGTTCACTTAACAAATAACCTTTCATGGAAACCCCACATTCAGTATGTTACTACCCGTGCTAACTGCATGTTGGGCTACTTAAAACGCAACTTTTCATTGGCACCTATTTCACTAAAATTGATCCTCTACAAAACATTAATCAGGCCTAAATTAGAATATGCAGCCTCCATCTGGGATCCCGGTCACGATACTCTAATCACTGCATTGGAATCCATTCAGAATAGGTCAGCCCGTTTCATTCTTTCCAACTACCATCGTACTGCTAGTGTCACATCAATGAAAAATAGTTTATGTTTACCACTTCTCTCCTTGCGACGTAAAATTTCACGCCTATGTCTATTTCATAAAATGTATTTTCATATCCCTCTCCTACGCAATCGGATGATTACTCCCCCCTTTTACATTTCATCCCGTCTTGACCATCAGCATAAAGTTGGAGTTCCAAGTTCGTTTACCACAACATTTCAATCTTCTTTTTTACCCCGCACAGCCGAGGAATGGAACCACCTCCCTGGTTTGATTGCTACTATAACTGATACTAACCTGTTTAGAAATTCCATCACTAGCTATTTTAGCAGTGACCCGTGACCTATTATTATTATTATTCTTTGTTTGTTGTATATTTAATATTGTTGACTTGTTACTATATTACTATCTTTGTTTCATGTATGTGCTCTCCCCCTCTGTAATGCCTTCGGGCCCTGAGGGTACTTTTAATAAATAAATAAATAAACTCTGTGCACGTTTCATCCCCAATCTTTACGACCCCAAAGCGGAAGGACGTTTGGTGAAAGATAACGATAAAATAAGACTTTGCGTCAAAAAAAAGTTTTTAAAAGAAAAAAAAAAGTACAATCAAGCACAACGCTTTGACGGACCGCGAGTTTGTGGAACACCTTGCGGCCCGCTTGCCACAGGACGGTTGTCTTCGACCCATAGCTCCAAGGTGAATTTGCCACGTGCGAAAACATGGAGATCTACCCACCGAGAACCAGGAAAGCAAGACACGCACACTGACGCCTCGGCGTGCAGAATGAAACAGGATACGGGCGCGGAATACGGCTGCGGAAGAACACCTTGCTCAGAGCCGATCCGGCCGATCTCCGAACGGACGATTTCGAATTTTGTGGACAGCGAGCGCCACCGGACGGCAGAGAGAGGTACCTTAAAAGAAATAAAAACAAGCACCGACACCTTGGTTCTTTATATTCGCTGTAGTTACGGAACAGATCGACTTACATGAATAATTTCGATAATATTCGATTCCGCAATACATTTATAAGGCATTGAACAAAATACTTTTTCTGTTTGCACTTAGATAATTTTGTAAATTCGCTCCGAACGCAAAAGTGCCGAATTAGCCGATTTTAACATTTTCCTAGTTTTTTTTAAGAATAAAATTAAATTTATAATTAAACATTTGTTCCGCTTAATGTCTTGATAATGACTCAATGTCTTTAAAGCCAATATTTTCTAGAAGATCCGCGCAGCCGTTATTATGTGAAACGTTTTCTAAGTTGGCGAAAAACCTCATGTATTCTCTATGGAGCTCTGAGGTGCGCCCCCTCTTAAAATGCACTGCAAACGTATTGGCGATTTTACTTGGATCACATGTGTAACCAGAACCATCCCTTATGGGGACGACATTATGATTTCGCTTCTGTTTTGATGGTACATACTTCCAAAAGTTTTTTTGGCTTCGTGTGCATATCGGTCTCAAGTGCAGCCGTATGCATACTTTTGTCTTGTTTAAAAAGCCTTTTTGCCAAAGCACGACACTCACTAAATTTGGCGTACCAAGAGCTATACTCGCATATGATCAAGTAGGATCATGTAAGAACATATGAGAGCCATACAAGCGTTTATACGAAGGTATAAGAAACTAAAAAAAGCTTCTTATAACTTTTAATATAATTTTATACATTTGTCATGTGTCCTTATATGGTTCTTTCACGATCTTATTTGATCAAGAGCGTTCATTGGACCCAAAAAATGTTTTATACAGATGAGATTGTTCGCTAAGATATTGCGAGGAAGACATGTGACCTTCATTTTGAACGCAATAAAATTAAAGTGTGTTTGGCAGAAATTTCTTTAATTATAGTAATATACAGCTAGTCGAGATAATCTATGAGAATATTTGACTGTATTTGAGAGATTTTAAGGGAACTCTAGGCAATATAATTCAAGTGCATTTGGAAGAAATTTCTTTAATTATAGTAATATACAGCTAGTCGAGATGATCTATGAAAGTATTTGGCTGTATTTTATATTTTATAGATTTCAAGGGAACTCTAGGCAATGAAATTCAAGTGCATTTGGAAGAAATTTCTTTATTTCTAGTAATATACAGCTAGTCGAGATAATCTATGAAAGTATTTGACTGTATTTTATAGATTTCAAGGGAACTCTAGAGCACAATTGAAATTATATTACGCAATTCAACGCGGTTAGATCAGTCAGTTGATCTCGAGTAACTATAGAGATGCATAGCATGGCATGGGTAAACTTTCAACTGCTTTTTATATGTTTTAATACATCTAGAAACGGAGCAAGAAATCGCATGAAAGGCCGTGGGCGGTCTGTTAACGCTGTGAGCCTTGTCCGTACTAGCCCTATAGTCTTCGATGTTATCATTTCTTTTGTAATAGCAAGCACATTACAGTCATGTTTCGAAAATGTAAGGGGGGGGGGAGTCAGTTAGAGCTTAAACATATGTTGTATTTAATAGATAGATGTATATTTGCAATAAACGAAATAGCTTAAAAATTGGATTGCAGTTTTCTAAAACCAAATACGGAGCGCGAATCGCAGTTTAAATTGTTTTTTTTTGTAGCCTTTATTACTGGTTAAACAAAATGATGACTACAATCATATTTTTTTATATTTTGTCTTTGTAGTACAAAACTATTAAATTTAATATTAGTTTCCTTGTTATATCTTTTTTACAAAATGACAGACCTGCTACCCTGAGTAACTTACACAGATTCAGATTATTTCTGAAAATAAACAAATAACTACGACACGAACGCACTATCAGTGCGTAGTTGTAAGCGTCCACTATACGATGATATATTGTTCGTGTTGGTAACTGCTACAAAATATATCTTACACAAACCTTGTTAAAATTCCTTAAATTTTGACATGTTTAAGTCAACTTGTACAAAAGATTATTTTTACTTCTAGCATTTGGCACTTAGACCTTTAAAGGTTAAGAATTAACTGATATAAATATTGGTTGAGCGTTTTTCGTGTATCCTTGAGACAATCAGTTGAATAAGCCAATTTTTCGTGGGAATTGTTTTAAAAATCTGGCATTTTGAGGTATTTGAGGTCGCTTTCTCCGAAAACTACACATTTAATTTTTTTTAGCTTTTTTTTTTGTTGATTACTCATAAGGTTGAAAGTTACCGGATTTAAATATTAGCTGAATCGCTTTTGTTTTCACTCGCGACAATCAGTTAGATAGGCCCCTGTTTGACTTAACTCTCTAAATGCTTTGTGCAGTCAACTTAACCTAACCTTTGCCACATAGAAGCCTTCATCGTCCTTTTTCAGAACCACTGAATCTCATCAAAGTATACACATTGACGGCTTACTTTATAGGCCTTGGCTAACACAGGTGCCACGAATTGCGTTATTAGACAGTCCTTACAGCTGCGCAAAGTTGAAACAACACTCTATTGGAGCTTATTACGTGCAACGTCAACATATGTGGTTGATGCGGTCATCCTGTAAATGGCCCGTGATTTCCGTACAAGACATGTGCTAAGACATTCTCTTCGTGGCCTCGTCGTCTTGAAGGCAAGACCTGATTATAGGCTTGGATTTTCGCAGGTTTGCGGAAGCTGTCGTCTGTTCCGAAGGTTCCGAGATCTTCCTCGGAGATTCAAATAACAGTAAGCCTGATTCGACCATTCCTAAATCCAAACAACGCGTTCATAAAGAACCCGTTATACCGTTTTACGTATCTCTGGTAATGGCTTTCCCGATTGAGCAAGACATTTCAGTATATGATGTAGTAACTGTCCTGCCAAATGTCATACTATATCACTCATTCATCATAACCCATTGTATATTAAAATATACCAACGGAAGTACAAGGCTACCTGCCTGTAATGCAGCACATCAGCCAATCGTGCTTTGCAAAAGGCATAGCCGTCGCAATGACTGAACACCACCATTCTCTGGCATTTGCGTCATTTTGCCAATAAGCAGCTTTCTTGGAACCTCCAGCGCTTCCTTTTAATTTAAAAAAAAAGCTTTGTTTGGGATACAACGGAACAAAACTACCCAACAGGCCACGGACGAAGAAAGAGGAGTCGATACACGGCGTTTTGTATTGTTTGTCTCTACTTCGTCCTTGCACTCTTGCACAGTTCTAGTCATACATCTATTTTTTTTAAACGTGCAGTAGCCACAAAAAAAAGAAGAAATATGTTAAACTTTTTAAACGTTTTTTTTTATGCGGACGACGACTCGATTTTTCTTTATGTGTAACATAAAGAAGCTCGCCTGTCTACACTCTCTATCTTCAATCAGTTGTTTCAAGTCGTCCCTTGGTATTTATGCCTGTATGTCAAGCACAACCAAGTGACTGGCACATGCAACCAATATACCGCCCTGCAAAATTGTACGCCAACGTTCATATTGCGTGTTTGCATCAGAACGCCCTATTATTGGCACGTACGTTACAAATTGTTACATGGAGTATTCAAGTGATTCAAAAGGATGACGATGACGAGTACAACGAAAGAACAAAGACGACGACAAAGAGGGGGAGATTGAATGAAAAAAGTACAGATTGAGATGCAGTAATGTGGTAATAACTTCTAGACGCCTACAAATTTGGCACAGTCGACACGATCAGTGAAATGTAAGGAAGCTTTCATGAAAGCGTAGTGTTACTCAATTACTATGTTGAAAATAATGACACAACGTATCTTCCACGAGATGTCAGTACGGCACAACCAATCAAGCTGGTCACACTAAAGGTGAGGAATTCACCCACGTAACTTCTGACCTCAAAATCTACGAAGGTAAATAATAAATAGGTAACATTCAATTTTTAAAGACATGGTATTGCGGACATGTCGGAGAACATTCGAAGAGTCATTGAACACGACCAGAATACTGCAAGCCCTTCAAAAGCCACGGCAGTAAGTAACCCAACGAAATGTGCTGATCGAGACCGTTGTTGCTTCCGTAATAGACACAAAAAAACTTAGATTGCAGACAGTGGAGCCACACGTGTTTGATTGCAATTAATAAAGTCCAGAAGAATGAATGGACATCTATGAGCGTGCGTGCGACAAGAATATGCGCAACTCAGAAGAAGGCCTGATGAAGAACACATGTTCTTTTTTAAGGCCTGTCGCATTGAGGAAACACGGTCGCGCCATCTACACACCATGTTGATGAACGTTCACGCAACATGTCGGTCGTTACCTCTGTTGCCCAAGAGACCTGCCTGAGTACAGAAACATCAGCACAACTTGGCCGACAGCGACGGTGTGGCAGCTTTCGGCAACAAAAACAGCAGCAACATCTGCTGAAAACGCCTGTTGCGCGGTTTGGTGGATGAGTGAAATTTTGTTCCCACAACGCAGATTGCTTCATGCGTGAGGCACACCATCTGTAAGGAGCTTCATTCAAATAATTTACTCAACTAAAGGGATTGAAATTATATTTAAGAATAATGAAGCGTGGCGTGCAGCTGAGAAAAGTTTCAAATGTATATGTAATTACCAAAAACGATCCTCCAAAAAGTCACCGCTATTGTATTGAGCATTTAAACAGTAGGTTAAGTTATAAATTGATCGAAATGGTCAGCCCAGATACCCCTAGAATTATTAACAATAGCGTGCGCACTTATTCGTTAAAAATAGGTTAAAAATAATCCACTTGACCTAGCGATAGAAGAAATCGGAGCATGAAAATGACCGCTACTGAAAGTGATCGTTGATATTTGGAGCTTGAAAATGACAGCTGGAGGCACGTAAACACTGTGAAAACCCTGAAAGTCTGGGGGAATGACGCGATCACAAGGAAGGCAGGAAAGGCAAACACACAGCATTGAAAACTATTATACAGATTGTAGTGACACCCGAACCGTCAGTGGCCCTTTTTGAATAGTTACAATTGAGCACCAGGCTACATAAAACGCTTTGAGGTACAGTGGACTGCAACGTCTCTTGCAATGGAAAGGAGACTTTTATGAAATGTAGAACGGCTTCATGGCCCGCCGTAAATCACAAAATTAGAAGAAATTTTGTCTTCCTTGGTTAGGGCTAGCTGCTTTGACAACGAATGAAGATTTCGATGACGTAAGGACCGAAAAATACCTTTCACATCACTTTTTTGTGTCACTGTCACTAGTGGACATCGTCTCGTAGTAATTTTGGCCGTTCAAACGCACTGCGATTTCCTAAAAATAAATTTACAGCGTCGTAAAGGTAGTTCATTTTCAGCACACGCAAGAATGTGCAGAAAAACAAGATGGCGGAATGTTCCCCCTGTTGGCCTTGCCGTCAGCGTGGTATAACAGGGTGTTATCAGGCGGTTGGTGACCAAATTGGCCAACATGGTTGCTGGGCGACAAACGCATATTTCCCAGCTGTTGATGTTGTCTCAATTTGAAACGGTCGCCGGAAACATGTTTTCCTCGTGTTTACGGTCAAGGGTTCGAACAGTTTTCTCAATGTGTCAGCGCCTTTACCAACATCGCGAAAAAGTGGTATGAACTTTTCCTAGTAGAGTACCCTGACGTAAGCTGGATTGATTGGAGGGCAAGCTGCCGCAATAACTTCAATGGCAACCAAGTTGACCGATGGAAATAACCCGACGTCTACACGTAGAAGACAGTCCCTGACCTAGGGCATTTTTTTTTGGAGGGGGGGAAGAAGACTCCTGCAATTTCCCGAAACCAACAAGCAGGGCTGGGCAACAATTCCCTTAATATTGCATGGGCTTCTATGTTAAATAAATATCAAGTACATGCTCCAAATCCCAAAGCCGCGGAAAACTTGCCTCAGAGCTTGTGAGACCCTACCAAAAAAAAAAACAGTATAACTTTTCGCTACCTGGATAATGGAACAGGAAATCTAACTGGCTTTCTTGCTGGAAATTTGAAATCCAGTTTGCAGACAGTAAGCGAAAAATTAGACTGTGTTTTTTTCTGTAGGAGACATCTCCACCTCCGTAGACAAAAACTTACCTCCTCGAGCTTCCTATAACGCTAAACTCCATTCATGTCGGGGATAGAAATACTCAACCTCGCGCAGGCACACACCGTGGGACACCAACCAACATTTTGTTAACACAGGCCTCCGCAGGAACGGCCATACATCTTTACGCCATTCTCAAACTTCAACCAAAACCAAGCGGTTAGGCTTAAGAATGTGGAGGAGCAGGTGAGAGGTTAAGAAGATGAAAACAATACCGCATAAAAAGGGTAGATGGTGAGTATCACCTGATGCAAAATGAAACTGTGTACCTGTCTACACGCCTGTCAGAGAACACTGTTGATATTGACGGACGTGAGACTCACGCCTTTGTCGATAGCGGTGCCTCAGTATCATTAATTACCAAGGAAAATGCGAATGATCTGAAAACCTACATGGGAAAGCGAATTAACACTTTAAGTTCCAACGACAAGAAAAGCCTTTATGACCGATGGACAACTGTTACCAGTAGTTTTGATGCCTGCATATGGAAATTATGGCTCTCGCTGTGGATGAGGTGGACTTTGCTCGAGTTTCTAATGTCCCGGCCAGGCATGGAGCGACTCAATATGAATGTAGACCGGGATGATTAAGTGACATTGAAAAAGACGGCCATCCGTGCCGACCGCAGATGTTGTGGCAACAAACATATCGACAGACCCCCAAAACTTATTGCTGCAGCTGAAGAAATTTGTATGCTGTACCCCGAAATGTTCAGTGTTGGCAGCTACCCGCTAGTTACCACAAAATGTACGGTGCACTTCAAAATCAGTGAGAAGACAATGGCGCGAAGAAAGCCTTACAACATGACAAGAAAAAAAGAAGGTGTGATTCAGCAGGAGATACAAAACATTCTTGATGCGAACATTATTTGATTTTCCGTGCCTCTGTTTGTGTCTTCTTTCACCATTGCACTTAAGGCAGATAAAAACTTCAGACTCTGCACAGCTTACCGTGCTTTAAACAAGCAGAATGGGCTAGCTTTTTTCCTCATGCCACGAATGGAAGCCATCATTGATAAAATTTGAGGGTGCCGATGCTTTTCACTGACCGCTGCAAGAAATTTTGGCATGATCTTCTACAACACGGTAACAAGTTGTACACAATCGTCGCAACTCCTTTCGACCTGTATGAGTACAACCGCCTCCCCATTAACCAAAAAAATTTTGCGTGGTTTGCGATGATGGACTAGGACTTCAATCCGTACCTAAAAGTATTTGCAACGTTTCTAACAGTGAGTTCTTTCAGACCCAGATGATATTTGTGCGGCTGCGCCTTCAACGGCTCCAAGAAAAGCACAAACGAAGAGTCGGTGACAAGCATTTAAGAACTGGTTTAGTCATAGGACGTGCACTTTCTCCGACTGCTCCTCAGGCTTGCCGGTTACTTTCGAGCATTAATTAAAGACTACGCCCTTAAGAGGAAATGTCTCACCAGACTTATGCAGCATGAGGACTTTGACTGGACGGAGGAATATGAAAGAGCATATCGCTACATGGTTCATGCCATCTCATCGAACCCTCTACCCTTTATGCCAGATTGTATATTTCCGTTCGAACCAAACACGGATGTCTTCCGTTATGAGACAGGGACCCTGCTCTACCAAAAGTATTCTAAGAATCCCGCCCAGAAACAGCTTCTTGTGGTGTGCTAGTTCAGCGACACGCTCAAAATGT